ACACACACACACACACACACACACTCACTGACTTACTCTTTCATTCGCAATAATCTGCCTCACACTGATATCCAAGTGCAGATGAACAAACCTACATGTGTATAAGATGAATGAATCACATGCACATTTTTAAAAAATGTTTATTCTCTATATTCATAATAATGCGTGTAAGTACACATCCACTACAATTCAATCACACAAGAAGGTGATCAAACCCAACGTCCGCCGCAAAGCTCACCCAACCGTGGACAAAATCTACGCAAAAAACAGAAGGAACAATGTTCACACTGCCATGATGAGGACAGAATGAAAAAAAGAAAGAAAGGAAGAATGAAATACCAAGAAAGAATCAAGCAAAGAGAGTAAAAAAGAAAGAAAAAGCGAAAAAATAAGAGGGAGAGGAAAATGAGTTGTTCATACCTGACTGCTTCTGTAATATAAAATCCAATTTGGAGGGGCATAGACGTGAGGCGGGGGGGTGGAGGATGAGATAAGGTGGGGTCCTTTCTCCCAGCCATACCCTTGTCCCATCTTACACAGTGCATGCTTATGTAAATACACACACATGCACACGCACGCACAAACCAACACACATATAGTGCTGTCATCAGCTCAGCAAACACTAAATATTGAACAGTGTGGGGAATGTCCCAGCATGATAAGTGCCTGCCCTCTCCTTCCCCATTAATGCCATCCGGCAGAATTAATGATAATTATGTCACGTCCCTTCTCGTACTTTTATTGAATTCTTATCTATGGAGAGACAAAGAAAGCTAGCGTCGCAGTGAGAGGGAAGAGTTTAAAAAGAGATAGCGACAAAGTGAAGCCCACATAAGAATATCTGGAAAATTTGTCATTTAATTATTTTATGTTGGGGGAGGAAAAAAAAGGTTGAGATACCGAACAGCAGAGTAAGTTCAATGAGAAATCAGAGGTCTGGAGCTGGAGAGTTGTGGAGCTGGCTGATAAAGGTTGAAGCACTCGCTCTATCCCTCTAGGAAAGGTGCATAATTTACCAGAGCTCTGCCGGAGGGCCAAGATACTGATGTGGACATGGATGCGTTTCTCCACAGTGCTGAATACCCACAAAGGTGAATGAGTGGAAATGAAAACACCTACACACATTTCCTACCAGTTGCTTTACAAGCAATAGATCCAACTTTCAAAATATATTCAATGATGTGTGGCTTTGCTCAGAGAATGACTTCCATATGCCCTTTACTCAATCAGGAACTGTGTATGGATGTTGGACATAGAATTCTATTGCCCCTGATGAAGAAAAATCCTACATCCGTCACTTTGTGTCTTAATTTCCTTATTTCTGCTAAATAAACATGACATTACTCAAACATTTTAGAACAGAAACTTTTGGAGCATCATATTTCCAACTATAGAAATAAAATAACATTTTCACAACCGCACAGCGAAACATCTGGGCTCTTGTCCCAAAATATCACTCAATACTGCAAATAATACAACATTTGGTATATTCTTCGATATCAACTGTAGCTTAAAGAAACATGTTAATACAGTTAATTCAGTTTATCTTCAACTCTACTCTTCTACTCTCAAACATCAGCTTTCAAGTCTCACCTGTTTATTTTGTGTATTTGGGGGAAAGGTTTTAAACTTCAAAATTATACTATAGTTTTGGCATTCCAGAGAGAAAATACAAAGCTAAAGTACAAAAACAAACCTGAACCTATGATAAGAGTCATTAATGGGAGTAATAACTCTCTGATTGCTATCATATGATGCTAATAAAAAGATATGGAGTTGAAGAAGCATATTACAAGATGCTAGAATCTTTATAGGAAGATTAAATGCACTCTCAATATGGTAATGAGGATAAAAGCATTTCTCTAATGACGAGTGATTAACAAGATCTACATAGAGACTATGTGGGATTGAAACACACACACACCTCATTTTGATCAGTGATTAATGATGCAAAAGTGATGACTAAGCAGGGAACGTATGAAATGCTTTTAAGAGTCCTGCTGAGGACTCACACACACACACACACACACACACACACACACACACACACACACACACACACACACACACACTCAACCTCAATGAGTCTGTGTGTAAAGCCTTCTTTGACAACTCCAGTGGAAAAAGTAATGATTGTGTGCTAATACACTCAAACATTACTTAATGAGGAACAGGTAAAATGTGTTGCTACAAGGACCATTGCAAACTTCCTGGAACCCCCTGTCCGCGATCTGACACAAAAATTTCAGACATTGTTTTTAATCTGCAGTGTACTCTGATCGATAACTGCCTAAAGAGCCGAGGGACTGGAGGCAGCCTCACCTGGAAAATATACCCATTAGGTGATTCTTGGATTAAAGCTTCAATAAAGAAGCATTCTCTTGCAATCTGGTGGATGTCACACACAAAACTAGAGTCCTGATTGTCTTATATAGTATCATATTCAGTAAACATGAATGTTTTTCCTGTCGGTGACAAAATGGAAAGAAAGTAATTGAGAGAATTATCAGAGTCCTGTTTTCTATACTTACTGGAAGCATGAGGCAGGCTGGCAAAGAATGACGTGAGACGACCGGCCAGCCACTCCATGCTCTCGTGAAGGTTGGCCAGAGCCTTGAGGTCACTGACGTCACGAAGGATCTCATTCTGGGGGATTAACTTGTCTCCGAGGTTACCGGTTAGCACCTCTGACTCCTTCGCAAAAGCAGCTCTGAATAACGGAGAGAAATAATTAGTGATACAAGAGTTTGTGTGGATAGAAAGACGCACTCAATATACTGCTGGCAAAGAAAAACATAGAAACGATTCCATTATCAGCCCAGTATCGGGTATTTTGAAGGAAATTATTGGTTTGCTGGTTGGATGGACTTTAATGCCTGCCGAGCCAGTGTGTGATCTACATAAATATTTAATGGGAGTTAATTTACAAAAGTTAAAACATAATGGACTTCCAAATGGAATGGATGTGCAAATGTTTCAGTGTTAATGTTTATTTGAAGAGGATCCAAATTTTATAGCAAGCTCATGTTTATGTGCACAATGGCTTAGTGATGTGGAACTGAACTAGGACCTTTAGCTTTACAGTGATGTGCAAATGTAGAAAAAGAAACAAGGGATAGTTAAAATGGATAAAGGGTTGATAACTAGATAGATATGGAGACGGATAGATAAGCAGAGAAAGGAAAATAAAGTTGGACATGTTATTAAGAGAATTTTGTGGGCTATAGTCACTTTCAAAAGAGGAAGTTGCAAGCAGCTCAACAGTCGGTGGGAGAGAAAAACAGCAGGTGATGGAGAATATTTAGAAATAGAAAGCAAACAGAAGGCAGAGATTTACAGGGTGGAAAAACAAAGACAAAGAGATCAAAACCTCTTTTGCATTGTAATAACAATCACTTGTGGTTTTGGAAGGATAAATTACTTTGGAGACTGGTACGAAAGAGCAGGGAGAGAAAGAGCAAGTTGGAAGTTGGATGAGTAAATCCAAAGCACTGCTGCGCTACAACACGTGTGGTGTAGGGACCGGGCTCCAGAGTCACATGCCCATAAGATCGAGATCCTTTGAACAACAGATGGGTAAAAGAAACAGCGCTCACACGCTCACGCACACACACAGAGCTCACGCACACACACAGAGCTCATGCACACACACAGAGCTCATGCACACATATTGTCTCCCTCGCTTATTAATGAGGCTTTATAAGCACTGGGTTGCCAGTCGTGCAGAAGCTAATCCCCCTTTCATAGAGATGAAAAAACATCTACGGCTCTCAAATCAAACAGCCTTATGGTCTTCCTCTTGCTATCTCTGTGCTCCCACAGTGGTGTGTGTGTGTGTGTGTGTGTGTGTGTGTGTGAGAAAGGGAGCGAGCGCACACAACAGATTGACTTTCTTTGGCCACATAACCAATTTATTTATTTACTTTACTATTCCGCTCCGATGAGCTTCAGTGTTCCCTGAAGAGTGCGCACATTCAAAGGCAATTTCGATAAGACTGACCCCCCCCCTCTCCTGCCTGCGACGGCTCTCTTTATATTTTTCCTATTTTGTTCTCCTGTCGTTTCCTCACTTCCCTCAGATAAAGGGTGTTAAAAGAGCAATTGTGACTGCTTTTATGAGTGCATCTTCGTCAACAAGAGAGGGTTCAATAATATGTGAAGAAAGGAGCAAAGACGAGGGGAAGTGATTATTTGCGTGATTGCTCAAGTGTGATTGTGTGTGTCTGCCCGTGCTTGTTTGTGTAGTATGCACAAGTATAACTTCTTGTTATCCTGTTTGTTTGTGGAAAATATTTTTTTTTTGACTTGTAAATGAGCAGAAACATGTGTTTACCGGGTAAAGTCCTCTTCATCCTCTCTTTTCTGTCGGGTCTGTCTGGGTTGGGCCATATTCGCCCAGTTCGGGAGGGACTTGAGCAGACGACTGATGTCCTCGTCTTTAGACCAGGAAGCACTGATGGTCAGTTTCTCCTCACACTGGACGACGCCCCTGAGGGGACAGAGACACATGTAATGAAATGAAGACCACCTCAGATAAGTAATAAACTAAGATATACATATAATTGTCTCTTAATAAAACAAGAAATAATAAATATAAACAAGGTGATAAGAAGAATCAAATTTCATTTTGGTTAATCTTTACCTTGTCAAAATATTACAATTAGAAAAGTACTTTTAGCATGTTAATATAGCTCGATAGCATGCATGTTACTATTAGATGGACAATATGACAGCTCCCAAAAAGTGAAGCCATGGTGTCTTGATTGCCTCCTGGTGGCTGGCTGCAGTATAGAATACAATGGCAATAATATTTTGACTTTATTTCTGGATGGTGGGAGGAAGTGGAAACATGGCGTTTATGTTTATATACCGTCTATGTTCTTAAACAGACAGACTAGTAACATTAGCTGTCAGTAAAAGAAGTTCTGTACTGACATATCAATTAAAAACACAGCAGCTGCGATTTAGCGTCAAGACAACCTGGGGAAGACTGACAACATTGCATTGTTTGTAAGTATCTGGGTTGGAAAAATAACTGCTTGGATCTGAATTTAATATCTTATTAATACTTTGTTCAGGAGACATAAGGTCTCAAGGGCTTCACATCCACACACACACAAGAAGGGGAAGAAGGAGGGGGGGCTGGGAGAGACAGAGGCTTGTTCATATGCGATGAGCACACACACAAACACAACCACCACCACTCTGGCATTCTCTGTTGAGCTTGTCTTTATCACTCCGAGCCCCTGGAGAGAGTGATGCTGACCTGTGACAGAGTCCAGATGGACTCCCAGCAGCCCGTCGCTCTGTCCCTGCATCTCCTGGCCAGTTCATCGCTCCCTCTCCAACCCCTTCCCCATATTCTCTAGCCCTCCCTTTACCTGGCCAGGTGTTGCATGGCCCCAGGGGAGCACAGACGGGTGGCCTTTCACAGCACCGATGTGTGTGTAGCGACAGAAACATTTCTAAAAATGTAATTAAGGATGTTCTTGTTTTGTTGGATTTGGCAGATTTTCAGAATCCTGTGATCATAAATCCTGCTCAGCACAAACAACTATATAGAATTCAAGTAATAAAAACAAGACTTGTAAATGTCTGTCATCGTCCAGGGAAGAAAACAATCCTGTAGCAGGTGAGCTAGTCTTCTCTTACCTGTAGGCTGTGTTGCAGATTTCCTTGTACTCCTTCAGCTTGTCGCATACCATTTCCAGGAACTGGTTGGAATAGGCACTCAGGTCCTGCATTAGGCTCATTAGATCCTGGATGGACTTCTCAACCACCACTGTGCTCTGGAGGCAGAAACAGAAGCAGAGTAATCAGCATTTGGTCGGGTTGAGGAAAACAAGAGATAGTAAAAAAATAAAAGGACACTGGATTTTATGTCAGATTTCATCAGATCCTGTCTCTTGTTGGGACGGCTCTACCTTCACTTATCTATTTGTCACCTGTGGCCGGACAGACCCCTGGTGATTGGACAGCTCGTCTAAACTTGTGAGTTTACGTATGTGTTGTGTGTGTTCTCGGGCTGAGAGTGAGTGCGTGTGCATTTGTCACAGCGCACCCATCACCAGGAGCCACGGCAGGGCTGTGACAGCAGCCATTACAGATTAGCCACTCCTGCGTGACTAATAGCTGGCCCGGGAACAGCGGAGCGGCTTCATATCCCCAGACACACTCGCACATAACACACGAAGTGCAAACTTTCCAAAACACACACCTCTGAGCAAATCGAGAGCTGTTAAATGAGATTACACCTCAGTGAGTTCCAGTTTGTCTGCTCCTAGCACTTAACCAATCTATCCTAAATCTCTAATAACAGTGATAACTTGCTATTAGTCTGGCTGCACCCTCTATGAAACTTGCTGCCATGACAAAAGCAGTTCTGTGTTTAAAGCAAAGTAATCCCATACAAAGATATACAGAGCAGGAATAATAAAACGTCTATTCATAATTCAGAGATTATTCAGCTCAGATGACTGCTATGTAAACGTATGGAGCCCCATCCTCGAGGAGCGAAATGGAAAAAATGTGTAGCTTTGTCAAAGATGAATACAATGGAAGTCACCTGTGTTAGATGCGAACAACTGCAGGAGTGTAGTGCAGCAAGAAGAGCCAGAAAATACAACCTGATGATCCACCAGAGAGTCTGCATCATTACTCCGACAAATGGTCCGAATTAAAAGTACAAAATGAGATATGATATTAATAAAATAAGTCCCAGAAGTAGACTTCATATGTACAACTCTGTATGCTAAAGGTTTAAGTAGTATCTCTATTATTTTATCATCAATAATTCATTTTTCTACAAGTTCCATTATATTCAAGGCCAGCCGCTCACTGCCAGAGTCTGCAAAGACTATAGGGGGCAGTAGTGACTGTAATTGATCTTCAAAAAATATGGAAGGAACCCTGATGTGATAGAATGATATTAATATTAATGGCTCTTTCTGCGTTTCAGTTTCCCCCCTCACTCATTCTGTCACATGCAGGCGAGCAAGGCACGCGCACACACATAAACCCACACACACACTCACATACATGAGCCACTCTACTGAGGGAAGTAATGATCCATAGCAGTGCCCATGCCCATGGAGTGCTAACCAAGGCCATGTCGCTGCCAAGGGAACACCCTTTATTGTCCATGCCTGACTCCCTGTCAGCCTGCCAGGGTAGGAAGAAATACACAGACCCTGCAGGAGGGCGAGTGTTTGTGTAGCTCAGGCAGCAGCTACCTCCGCTGCTTAGGCTGGTGGTACATAGCAAAAAATAATTTTAGTGGTGGTGACATTGCTGCCAATTGATAATAATATGATGCTTTATTGATACCTGAAGTTGTTTTCATTTGATGTGGACAGGTCAGGTTGTAAAGGCTGTGAAGAATTCAGTTGGTGGCTCAGGGCAACTTCAGCAGACTGCATGACTGACTAGACAATTTTCTTGCATGAACAAAAACTGTCCAGACAGCTGGACGTTTATATATTGTACTCCCTTTTCATCCTGAGGTATTTGTATTTCTTTTTGACTCTTTATTTTCCACAATTAAAAATTGAAATTCTTTTTCAAAATGTGTTCAAATATGAGAAATTCAACTTTGTAGAATACAGAAGTCGACCATGGTAAAAAAAAAAAAAAAAAGTTCTTTATTCAGGATTGTAGAGAAACTTAACAAGCTATTGTTGGAAAGTTAGTGTGTCAAATCTGAACAGTGTCTATTCTTTGGGGACATTGAGCTCAATATCAGGCCAAGTCAGTGAATGAAGAAGAGTAAACAATGGATGCCTGATCCATTACTCCTGCTCTAACAAATGCTCCTGCACTCAGCTCCCTTGTCTAATTCTGCTCATTTAACACAGCCATTTGTCTTAGGCTGCAGAAATCATTAAAAAGTAATCAAGGGTGCAGACTGAGAGAGGGAGGGCTGCGAGTGGTAGAGGGAGCCATGCCTCTCTGCCTCACTTGACTGTTCCATAGGAGACAACATGCCCTATGGATGCTTCTTTGTCTATGTCTATCTTTAAAGGTCGAAAAAACAAAACATATTTATCTCGTAATTCTACTTCACAGTGTTGCTTAACCCCTGAAACTGAGCTCGGCTGCACTTTGCCTGTACTCGTTTCCATCATTACCACATAAAAACAAGAATAGTCATTGGGGGGAAATTAGACCTGGGTGTTGTGAAAGGATGGCAGAATTCGCTGGGGTAAACTGCTGCTGTTAAGAGTGAAATGAAGGCCTCAGCCAAAGTGGTTTAATGACAGCAACAAGGCAGCACTAGCACTCAGACTGGCGCCTCAGCAGAAAAAGGCTGTTAATGCACGGTCATCACTACAGAAAGCACCCTGAGCTGAGCCGGTGCTAAAAGTAGTCGCTTCCTTTTGTGGAGTGAGGGAAAAAGCCAAACACGGGGAATGGTGTTAATACAGTAAGAGTGCAGGGGTGTAATTGCTAAACTGTTTTCTTGTTAATGCAAAGCGTCATCCTGATGTAGAAAAGGAAGATAAAAAGAGGAATCATCCATTTACTCAGGCTCAGTTGGATTATGAAGGTAAATGTTTTGTTACCGAGGTCTTGTTGGGTCTCTGTAAATAATACTGTAAAGGGAAACACTCTAGACTTGCTCTATGAAAAAAGTGACCTGAAATAACTTCTGCTCAGTTTCGCCGCTACACAAATAAATTTTAACTTCTGAATGTCAGTCAGCCTCATAAGGTTTTTCTGTAATGTGTTTTCTGATTTGTCGAGGAGGTTGGTGGACACGAGATCTGAATCGGAAACGGATCATGGATTAAATTCCATTAAAATGGAGGGGTGGCCCCTGAAGGTTGTGTGGGGGCCAGAGTGTTTAACACCCTGACCTCAAACCGCTGACTCGTGTAATGTCTCTGCCACGCCGCTCACACACGTTCAATCGAGGGTTGCCAAAATAATATGCACTCAGCACAACATATAGGCAGCTGCACACACCCACACGTTAACATGGAAGATAAAAATGGTCTCCCCCTTTTTCTCACACACCCACACACATGCTGTCCCTCTCCTGGGTAAAGGGGAGCTGGTCATGAGAGGGACATTGTCTTGACAGATCATTCATCAAAGTCAGCATTGAGCCATGCTCCAGAAGACTCCCCTGACACACACCGGATGGCCCTCATGCTTGTGCCAGCTCAACCAAAACACACACTCCTTCATGTGTGTGCTCATGTGGGCAGGTTTGTATTCAAGTTTGTTTAAGCTGCGACAACTGTGCGCTTTTATCTTTCCATATGTGCATAATGTCACTGGAACAGAAGTGGCCCCCAATGCCTCTCATGGGAATTCATTCACGGACATCAAAGCTAAAATTCTAAATAAGCTCCTATAGACCACTGCCTTATTTTGTGTTTAATAAGTAGAATTCAAGTTTTCAACATTTGAAATAAAGGATTTCTAAACTCATTGCTCACAGGCACATAAAGAAAATGAACATATAACACAATATAAATGTTTCTAGGCTAAATTTGAGGTAGGCAAATTGTTGGGTATCCTTAAAAGATTCATTTTCAAGTAAAGCAGCAATAGTACAAATAGTGCAACATGCCACTGTGAAATTAATACAAGTCCATAGCTTCAGGATCGGACAAAAGTAAGTAATTATTAAGCAAATCATATTTTTTCACCTCCGCCATCATCTCGCCTGATGCAAAGTTTCTAATTGAGAAATGAGGAGCAATATCACACTTGGCTGATTACAGACGGGCTTCCATACACTCCCTGTTCACAACCACACACAAAACACAGATGCAGGGTGAAATGTGGGGCTTCTGTATAAACACCCGTGAGTACAGATTCACCATTTAATACCCCCACAGAGACCAAAAACTACATTTTACCCATCATACCATCATTATCTTAGTGTTTCTACACTCTACGTTTTGACTCTGCCCTCTGCTGGATGTCTTTACCATTTTATGAAATTATCTATCACTATTATCAATTATTATGAATAATTTATCACGAGAGCTAAATAAGGCCTTCAGTGATGTGTGTGTGTGAGTGAATAGAAGTTTGAGAGATGATGAGAGAGTAAAAGACAAATTATAATGTAGTTTAATGCATTCTAAGCGGGGTGTATGTTCCTCTCTGTGCCCCATTAGGCCCATCTGGAGCCATTGTGTTGGCGCACACACACACACAGATACGTGCAGCAGACACAGACACACGAAACAATGTGTGTACTCCCAGCAACACAAAGACAAGTCATTTGCAAATTCAGAGCACTAACCTGCCTCTAAAAATCCAGGCTGGAACTTTTATCAGGCGCCCACAGCCAGAACCTTCTTTCCTTCAAACCATTGGGCATGTTTGCGGTAGAGCTGACATTTCAACTTCTCTCTCTCTCTCTCTCTCTAACTCACTCACTCCAAAGGCAAAGATTATGTCTCGTTATACACAGAGACTCTGTCAGTGGTAGCGCTGCATGCTGTGAACCTGGACTACCTTAGGCTGCGGTGGCTCGGGCTGTTTACTCCGCTCATTTAAATGCTTGCTCTGACACTACACACACAGACAAGCAAACACACTTTCATTATTATTAAAATATATAGCTTTTACACTGATGCACACACAGCGGGGGGTCCAAAAGTCTGAGAGCGATTTGAACGAGGGAAGTGGTCTCAGACTTTTGGACCCCACTGTACGTAAACAGCCTAAACAAAGAGCGCGTCGTTGCATTTGCGAGGCGTGAACACACGGAGGCAGGTTGGAGGCTCAGGGCAGCTGGGCACGAGCCTCGGGAGTACATGTGTTTGGT